CAGTCGTTATTCGCGAATTGTCGTTATATCCGCAGTCGTTATTCGCGAATTGTCGTTATATCCGCAGTCGTTATTCGCGAATTGTCGTTATATCCGCAGTCGTTATTCGCGAATTGTCGTTATATCCGCAGTCGTTATTCGCGAATTGTCGTTATATCCGCAGTCGTTATTCGCGAATTGTCGTTATATCCGCAGTCGTTATTCGCGAATTGTCGTTATATCCGCAGTCGTTATAAGCGAAGTTGACTGTAATCCAAGGAGCTTGCAACAACTTACGTTGAATTGAAGAATGAAGCAAGCACATTCTGGAGGCATAAAGCCCCGACACCATAGTTGTCTTCAAAATGACCATTCTCCATGCCAAATTGCTCGTCAAATTCTCCTTCAAAGCAGTCCACTTTGCCCTTGACAGCTCCCGGTGAACCCCAGAGAGATAGAGCAGCGCCTGAAACGTATGGCGAGAGCACAGTGTTGCGAACAAACTCAACATTACGCATCCACACACAACTTCCGGCACGTGAAAACCTTGCAAAAAAGGCCCCACCACCTTGCCGAGCCGCGTTCAAGAGAAACCTTGACTGGATGACAGCGGCCGTGGCCTGTATAATTCGACGATCAAACAGCATGCTCACCCCACCGCCAAGCATGGCAGTGTTGTTAATGAATGTGCAGTTACTGATCAGTACGTGGCGTCTTGAAGCAGCTGCATCCTGGCTGCCGTATTGGTTTTCACGAGCATGTAAGAAAACAGGTGACCCTTCGGGACTGGATAGGTTGGAAAATGTATTGTTGTGGATGAAGGCAAATGATGGATACACACTCGGGTATGTCTCGATGTGAACAGCACTGCCTTTCAAATGCTCAACATGGTACTCCAGCTGAGAATATTCCGGGGTTCTCACGCCGGCATTCGCAAACACGCTGTCCTGAATAGCAAGGAGAAATCTTGCAAGACATGGAGTCTGGTGACGCGTTGGTTGATTGTGTTTGAACTGTTCCATCTTCTTCAGAGCCAACCCCATTGCCATGTCTGTACCACTGTCTGTCAGCCACTGGGAGTAGTCACCTAGATCTACGGGTACCTCTTCACTACTATTAACCGAATGATGAGCACGTACAAATGACCGAATCTCGTGAAACTTTCCCAGCGTTATAACATAGGTAATGTCAGTGGTCGGTTCGCGTTCCATGCGAGAACGCACAAGGAAAACAGCATAGCTGGAGTTGAGGAATATGGTGCTGTATTTCCAACAAGCACTAGTCACGTAAAACTGACATTGGTCGATTTTCACCAACCTGGATTGCACCACGCACATGGCGTAGCCATTCTTTGGTATGTGAAACTCCAGGGCTTTCAGCAGGACCTGTGTGGCATTAGATAAAACAAAGAATGGCTCTTCGTTTGTGGGGCTGTGCTGCTGAAGAATAGACCTAGGGCATCCTGGACTTGCCACAGTGGCAATGGCAATCGGGCCGACGTTGCTGTTAATGTTTACAGCTGTGCTCTCAGAGCTGAGCAGGATGGAGCAGTTGAATCTGGTATCTGGGTGCAACCACACTGTCACCACTCCTGCTGACCCATTGTACATGTCCGCCATGCCAGCTCTCCACTTTTGTACTAAGTGAACTGCGCTCTGGATGGAGAAGCATCGCGCAGGAGACTCACCATTGTTCTGGCAGTGTGACGGCAAACGTGAAGGGTCTCGTCTATTCCAATCTCTGGCCGGGTGCACCACATGTACCACCAGTGATTCATCAGATGTTAAATTATCACTGCCAGTGCTAACAGCTAGGTTGGTAGGATCAACAGCAACGCTACTAGAATCATTGAGGAGTGGCGGCGTAGAAGACCTTGCAGCAGAACAGCATAAGCCAAGAGCGAAGAGAAGAGCTCGGACTGTTCGCCAGGGCACAAGTCCATACCGGCAGAAACAATTCCTCAGCCCAGCCTTGGTTACCATTGTACCGTGATTAGTATTGCCAATGACAACGTTACCTCAAAGACTTCTTACACCATGACCACTCGGGGTTCAGTTTAGACAGCCAGCGTAGACCCTACACTAGTCAGGGTGTGCGAACTCCAAAAAAGCCACTTCAGAGACGTTAGACATGAGAAAATAACGAGGCCGGTCAAAACAAACTGAGAACAGCTGAAGCAACTGCTATACCTCTTATTGGTCTGCTAGTAGACTACCACTAATGAGACCATCGCTCACTCTCCAAACATTACTTCTGAGGTCATCATCAGTGCTGGCACTGATCTTGAACACAGCAGTTGAAACCTTAGCTGTTATTCTACCTGCACTTACCGTATTATCTCTAATATAAGCACAGTCTCCAATAATAGCACGTCTCCAATAATAGAACACCTTGGGGTGGCATTCAAAAAATAAAGTGCTCAGTCTCCATTATAAGCACACTGTGTAAATTCATTATCTGTACCGGCGAAAAAACCCTGTAATGTGTGTGTCTGACATGAATTTGGCATGGCAACATGCCTCTGAAATGAGGTTGAAATGATAATGGAACAGTCTCCAATAAAGGAACGTCTTCATTAATAGCACGGGGCGGAGGTACATTGACAAAATCGAGGACCGTGCTTATTAGAGATAATACGGTATGGCTAAATCGCTCACTCTCCAAACATTACTTCTGAGGTCATAATCAGTGCTGGCACTGATCTTGAACACAGCAGTTGAAACCTTAGCTGTTATTCTACCTGCACTGATGGCTAAATCAACACTATCTAGTGATAAATAACTACAACAAGACCACCTTGGATAGTCACCACCTTGACCTTACCGTTCACCTTGTCCACAGCTGGCAAACACGTCTGCACGATTTGGGCAGTCGAGCGAAGGACCACCACGTGTCTTTACTGGTCATCTTCGATTGTTTAGAGGAAGCTCCAGAATTTCGGGGTGTCGTAGCTGACATGACTGTCATCCTCCTGCGCTTGCCCAGCGGAAAGGCGATGGCTCCTGACGACAGTACGGCAACTTGATCCGTTGGCTGGAATTTCAGACCACCAAACTCTCGTGTGCGGCGTAGTTAGTTTGTCGTCGACGTGCTAGTAATCCTTCCTGTATGACAACGGAGTGTTCCTAGGTGACCTCCTGCAATCTGGCCTTATCTTTAGGCAAAGATCGAGTTATCCGGCGTTGTTTTGACACAACGTAATTGTTCCGAATGCGTGCTGATCTGAGTGGTGAGCTAGCAATGGAAATAATTATTGCCCTATTGGTGACACTCGACTCATCAACTCAGTTTCACTGGTCGATCTATGAAGCAAACATTTTGTAACACTGCATTGTATTTGTATAGCTGCAGTCTTCCTAGAAAATAGACAAAATTAATAATAGTAGTATTATCTGAGAAAACGCATGCATGTGTCTGGAAAGTGGAAGGGGGTAATCCAATGCTTCTCCCAAGACTGAGCAACACTGAGTCAAGGCATGTTTGTGGACTCTTGCTTAGTCTTGGCTAGCCGGCTATACCGGCAGTACTGGCTGCAGCAGTACTCGCCAGTAGCTGAGTAGGTCTACATGACTGTACTACTAGTACTACTACTAGCACGTAGACATCTACAGGTCAGTGTAGATCTACTACAGTCTAGACTACAGCCATGTAAGAAAGTAACAGTTCAGTTGGTTGCTCGTAGAGTCTACCCGGACCCACCAACTCGCACATTTGAATACGGTTTCCCACCTGCAAGAAAGCCGAGTCGAATGTTCGATGGATCTCTCGTTTGCTCTGGATGGCACTCGTGAGGCAGTCAAGTGTCAAGTCAGGTCGGCGAGAAGAGCGCGAGATTGAGTGTTGCGAACAACCAACTACCGACGTTACGTTACTTACGATACTTTCTCGCCAAGTAACGTTTGCAACCACTGAACTAGTAATACAGTCATGTGTAGTAGCTAAGCCTTGTACGTCCAGTACCTGCAGCCTTCTGCATGTTCGGTACTTTCACCGACCTCCGTCCGTTGCGTCCTGCCACCGGAGACTAAAGAGTAAAGGCCACGAACTAATTACTAAGTCTTATTGCACAGTGCAGTAATGCTTTTTGAGTGTGAGAGGGCTAGCGGGGAACAGAAAGAAGCATGACGATGGAAAAAAATGGTATTTTCACTTACAAAGCAACTTTCAGTACATGGGGTAGTGGTCCACCAGAGCAATCACACTCACGTCTATCAGCCAAAACCAGCACTAGGCAGCAGCTCGGCTTTTGGCTGTCACGACCGGCAGCTCCACACCGAGTGATGTGCCGGGAATCGAATGCCTGCATTTGTCCAAGGAGGGCCATTCACCATTCACAGCGGCTGAACTGGAGAACAGTTGGACGGCACATGGTTGGACAAAGCAACCCCGCATGCAGTGATCAGCAGTGACCATGGTGACAATACTAGTAACATGATCTACCGGTATGTCATTGGAGGGGCATCTCTGGGGAAGTCCCTGGACACCGCCATGTCACAGTACGGACATTACTAGTATTCATGACAACGGTAAGTGGACCTCTCTACCGGTAATCATGGTAATGTTAGCGCAACGAGAGAGCCCCATACTGCCATAGTCACAATCTTCAACAGGGATATCTATGTGATCGGGGGATGTACTTCCGGACAAACTCTGGACCTTGTGGAGAGGTTCTCATTCCGATTACGCCGCTGGTGTTTGGCTGCTCCAATGTCGACACCTCGCACCGCAGCTGCCGTTGCTACCAATGACTCACCGGTGTTTGTTGTTGGTGGGTGTGTAGGCGGCAGTGCGCTCTCCTCCGTTGAGTGCTACGATTGTCATAGCCCTAGCTTGGCGGATTATGCCGGCATAATATTTGGCATAATCTTGGGATTTCGTCAAAAAATTATGCTCCGGCATAATATACGGATTCCAACGTCACGTGTAAGGTCGGCGTAATCTTTCGGTTTAGACAAAAATTATGCTTAGGGCATGGCCGTGTGTGTATGCGTGGTTTCTCAATCCTCTGTGTACAGCGTGAATACATAGTGGAACCGAGCATAATTCAGCATAATTCAGCATAAATGATGGCATAATTGTGGCATAATCCAAAGCATAATTTGACGATTGGCCGAGCATAGTCCGCCAATGGCTACACCGGGTACAATCTTCACCAACTTGTTGCCCCCCAAAAAGCCGCGTGCCAAGGCCCATCGAGCTCTCAGAAACTGTGATCGCCTGCATGAGCAAACAGATTTTAGCACTTTATCAGCTAAAAAAGCTCAAAAAGGGCGATATTCACCAAAAAACGCAATAAAGGGCGAAAGAAACGGGCTTTTCCAAAAAGGTCTAAAAAGAGCGAAAAAAAAAGGGCGAGCAACTTTGGGAAAGGGCTAACCACCGGACCAACCTTTTGGCCACCAACACAGGTCATGCTTACTACTGTGAAGGGCATGTGTACCCGCTATATCATACACAAACTGAATGAAAGGCCATGTTACTGCCGGAACAATCATAAACTGCTGCTGGTGGTCCTGACTAGTAGTGAAGTACATGTACATGATGATTAGAGCAAGGGCTGGCTGGTGCTTACTGCTTTGTGCCACTCGGAATGTTAAAAGGTGTAACCAAAAATCATCACATGAAATATTTGAAGGATATCTACAACCAATCGTGTCAATAGCCAGAAAATTACCACCAATATTGTGTGCAGGAAGCTGTGCGTATCATGCTGCCAAACGAACTGATATAAAGAGACTAGTGCATAATCGGTATAGTGTGAAAGGACAGCAAGCCCCTGTTAGATTTTGACCAGTGTGAAATCATGCTTTACCACTGTGAGTGTAAGGGTATTGTCACAGTGCTCCATGAACTTAAATTTTGTCAGCGCAAACCAGCTGCTTTTTAAAAAGTGTGAACGTTTGGTGCAATACTCGTTTGGCTTGCAGTAGTGATGACATTGCCTCATCAACAGAGATTTAGTTGTTGACTAATCCGCAATCTACATCATGCCGAGAGTGAATATGTGAGAGAAAGAAGTCTTCATCCACCACGCAAGACCGAGTGGAAGAGTGTTTGGGTGACTAGATGAAGCAGTAAACCAGCCCACAACCATCTAATCTTCTGATGGCGGAGCTGGACTCAACAGATGTTCTATAAGCAGTGGATCTCGGAGTCCATCTGGTACTGACAAGGTGTTCATCTGAAGACAGAAACCAAGAATTGTCGTGGAACTTAGAGATCAACATTCCGCTATTCGAATCAATGTGTATGAGCAAAACTCTCTTTCCCTCCCACTCTCATGTTCATGATGAACCCTCCTAGCATCTTCATTATAGCCACACAGTAACTTCACTTTTTTCTTTCCTAATAAAAAAAAAAATTCGACGGGTTCGCGTACCGGGCAGGTCAAGAACAAGGAGTCGTACAACTCCCTGGTCAAGAACCACCTTTCCGCTTCCGTGGGACGCCACCACCCCATGATCAGGCGTCAGATGCGGCTCCTCAACGGTGGGGGAGGATAGATCAGATCCACCAACCATAGGCCAAAGGCCAAAATCCCATTTGCCACATCCATGTTTTACTCATGCCAGGCCACGAGTTCCCAATTAACTGTGGGTCGCAGCACGGTTGGAAAAAATCCTTCCGCTTCCAAGCAGGACTTGAACCTGGTACCTCTCGTTCCTAATAGCTTGTTTATTATTCTCTTTTTGTTATACATGTGTCTTCATCAAGTTCTCCCAGTTCACACTAGATTGATGGTCTTCTTTGTGCGACCGCATTTGCGTCGAAAGTGTACATGACATGTGGACAGTGGAACCAACATGGCTGTCCATCACGGGTTTAGTCATGCGACAGATATGTAACAGCTCTATTGTTTTGCAAATAAACTCTGCACCTCCACCGGTTTGGTTGCCGAGTCGTTATTGCTCGCGTCCTTTTATGGTGCAATCCAAATGTTTGGTCATCATAAGAAAACCTGCTGGATCCCACAAGCCCTACTGATCATGGTACATGTATGTGTGTGTGTGTGTGGGGGGGGGGGGGGGGGGAGGGGTAGTCACAGCTCAAATGGTGTGTTCATGCTTTAGTTATGTTTATGTTACTTTCTCCACGCCGACAGTTCTTTTATAATGACCAACCATAGTTATTCAACCGACAGTTCTTTCATAATGACCAACCATAGTTATTCAACCGACAGTTCTTTTATAATGACCAACCATAGTTATTGAACCGACAGTTCTTTTATAATGACCAACCATAGTTATTCAACCGACAGTTCTTTTATAATGACCAACCATAGTTATTCAACCGACAGTTCTTTTATAATGACCAACCATAGTTATTCAACCGACAGTTCTTTTATAATGACCAACCATAGTTATTCAACCGACAGTTCTTTTATAATGACCAACCATAGTTATTCAACTGACAGTTCTTTTATAATGACCAACCATAGTTATTCAACCGACAGTTCTTTTATAATGCCCAACCATAGTTATTCAACCGACAGTTCTTTTATAATGACCTACCATAGTTATTCAACCGACAGTTCTTTTATAATGACCAACCATAGTTATTCAACCGACAGTTCTTTTATAATGACCAACCATAGTTATTGAACTGACAGTTCTTTTATAATGACCAACCATAGTTATTCAACCGACAGTTCTTTTATAATGACCAACCATAGTTATTCAACCGACAGTTCTTTTATAATGACCAACCATAATTATTCAACCGACAGTTCTTTTATAATGACCAACCATAGTTATTCAACCGACAGTTCTTTTATAATGACCAACCATAGTTATTCAACCGACAGTTCTGTTGTACCTGCGCCTGCACGTGTTATCTCTTCGTCGTAGCTGCTGCTGTATTTGTGTCTCTGTGTGTACATGTGGCTGCACGTGTTGTCTCTTCGTCGTAGCTGCTGCTGTATTTGTGTCTCTGTGCTGCTGACCCGTACATGCTGCTGCGCTGCTTTGTTGCTGACCCGTACATGCTGCTGCGCTGCTTTGTTGTTGACACGTGCACCTTTTTGTGCTGAGTACACCACCTTTTGTGCTGACGAGGGCACCAATTTCTGATATCATGTTTTCCTTTTGCCATGTCGTCGTCAGTTGTCCGACGGTCGTCGTCAGTTGTCAGACGTTCGTTGTCAGAGTCAGTTGTCCGACGGTCGTCGTCAGTTGTCAGACGTTCGTTGTCAGACGTTCGTTGTCAGAGTCAGTTGTCCGACGTTCGTCGTCAGTTGTTAGACATTCGTTGTCAGTGTTAGTTCTCCATTATGAGTTCTTCCGTCGCCGCTTGAAGTAAACTATGAAAACTCTCTCTCTCTAGCTCTAGAGAAAAACCACTGACTAGTTCGTTTTGAGGTGTGGCGTGGCGAGGATAGAAGAGGCAGTTCGTTCTCAACCTTCCGAGACGACATTTGGCGCCCAACTAATCGAACCCACGACCCTGAAGCTCGTCGCTCTCCGGCCGGTGTTTTTCGTTTTCCTCTTCGCGTTCTCGCCATGGCTCCGCTTTGCTGCGTCTGTTCAACCCTTTCCTAGATCCTCGGAGCTCCTACTCAGGTGAGCATGCCTTTGTAATTGTCTGCTCTGCGTAATGTGTTGCAATGTTGCCGTACCTTGTATTCGATTTCGAATTTTCAAATAATTGTTTTGCGTCGGGTGACTCGGGTCCCTGCAGGAATTCCGTGGAGCCTTGTTCTCTCGTGTTCGAGTGTGTACTCGTAGTGTAGTCTTGCTGCTCGTTGGAAGTTCGCCCCGTTGTGTTAGTTGTGTCGCTCTGACTACCCTGTACTGTACTGTTGTGTATGAAAATTTCAAACTTCTGTTCGTGCGCTACTCGTTCGAATCTGGAACTTGTGTTTGCATGTTCGTCGTGCATTCAGCATGGGTAGCTTTGATCTCGTCTTGTGTTGTGCACTTGTGCTTGTCACGGAGTTGCCGTCGGACTGCTCCGATAGTGTGACTGTGTCGCGTGATTTGTTCAGATGTCCACCTGAACGTTCTCGAGGTGCTGCCTCGTATGTAGTCGATCCATATTGTTTTGTTTCGTGTTTTTACCGTTTTAGTAGTAGTTTCTCCATGTTCTGTGTACATGGTGTAGAGCATTGTCACTGTCAGGCTCGGCCATGCACTGTCAACAAAGTAGGAAAGCTGTTGGCTTCCGGTTTGGTGGGAGGTGTGAACTAATTGTTACTTCATGTAGGATTCTCGTTCTTGATCCAGGTTGAATTTTTTTTGTGAGCGTATGGTTTTGTAATAATTGTGTTTCGGCATGTGGGTTTCTCTAGTTCGTCTGGGTGGGCGTCTGATCATGGTGAGCCACGGTCTGCTTGGTGGTCTGCAGGAATCCTGCGTTTTGTTGTATCGGTTTGCCTTGCGGGTGTTATGGTTTCCGCGTGTTGCTGGTTGGCCCTTGCGCGCCCCAGTCGGTCCCTGACAGTTTTTGTCTCGGTTTTTGGTTTTGCGAAGCGGATGTAGTTCCGTGTTTTTCAGGTTCAATCCCTGTGGTTTTTTCAGGTTCAATCCCTGTGGTTTTTTCAGGTTCAATCCCTGTGGTTTTTTCAGGTTAGAGACCTGTGGGTTTTCAGGGTAGCGCCCTGTGGTTTTTCTTCTTTATCTTTTGCGTATTGGTAACCGATTTGTTTGTGTGTCCTCAATGGTGTCCTCACTGATTAATTGCTCCTGTTTCAGTCAACGTGTTCTTCCTGGCTGTTCTTCCCTTCCTTCGTGTGCTTTTCTGATTTTTGGTGATGGCTGAGATGTTTGCGTCAGTCCTTCTCTCTTTCTGTGTGTGTCCTGTGATTCTCGGAGTTTCTGTAGCGCCATCGGTTTTCGGACAGCCGGCCAGTGTGCGTCCTGCGGCCCCAGTCTTCTTCTCGGTCGGTGCGTGCTGTCGGTCTCGCCGCTCTTGGCAGCGTCGCTGGGTCCGTCGGCTTAACCCTGTTTCCTCATGCATTGTGTACTTTTTGTTTGTCTTGACTGTTGGGTGGGTGGCGTACTAGGTTGGTGCTGTTCAAATAATCAAGATCCAAAGGGACAACTACAGGTCGAACAGCTCGCCAGCCGGGGTCCTCTGCAAAATCTGTTGCTTGCAGGTTCCGTTTGATTGATGCACAGTTTTGCGGGGCTCCCGACTGGTGTTAACCCTCCTGGCCTACTCGTCATGCATTCAACTGTTGTGACCCCACCTCTTTTGTGTTTTATTGTCGCCTGTTTATGTTGCTTCATATTTCATTTCCCCTGTCTTTCTGTCTTCTTCTCCGGTCTGTCTCCTTCCGTTTTTTTTATACACTTCACTTTTGCTTCCATCCACAGGAGTGGATGTCTTTTTTTGGTAGGGGATAGTGTTGTACCTGCGCCTGCACGTGTTATCTCTTCGTCGTAGCTGCTGCTGTATTTGTGTCTCTGTGTGTACATGTGGCTGCACGTGTTGTCTCTTCGTCGTAGCTGCTGCTGTATTTGTGTCTCTGTGCTGCTGACCCGTACATGCTGCTGCGCTGCTTTGTTGCTGACCCGTACATGCTGCTGCGCTGCTTTGTTGTTGACACGTGCACCTTTTTGTGCTGAGTACACCACCTTTTGTGCTGACGAGGGCACCAATTTCTGATATCATGTTTTCCTTTTGCCATGTCGTCGTCAGTTGTCCGACGGTCGTCGTCAGTTGTCAGACGTTCGTTGTCAGAGTCAGTTGTCCGACGGTCGTCGTCAGTTGTCAGACGTTCGTTGTCAGAGTCAGTTGTCCGACGTTCGTCGTCAGTTGTTAGACATTCGTTGTCAGTGTTAGTTCTCCATTATGAGTTCTTCCGTCGCCGCTTGAAGTAAACTATGAAAACTCTCTCTCTAGCTCTAGAGAAAAACCACTGACTAGTTCGTTTTGAGGTGTGGCGTGGCGAGGATAGAAGAGGCAGTTCGTTCTCAACCTTCCGAGACGACAGTTCTTTTATAATGACCAACCATAGTTATTCAACTGACAGTTCTTTTATAATGACCAACCATAGTTATTCAACTGACAGTTCTTTTATAATGACCAACCATAGTTATTCAACCGACAGTTCTTTTATAATGACCAACCGTAGTTATTGAACCGACAGTTCTTTTATAATGACCAACCATAGTTATTCAACTGACAGTTCTTTTATAATGACCAACCATAGTTATTCAACCGACAGTTCTTTTATAATGACCAACCATAGTTATTCAACCGACAGTTCTTTTATAATGACCAACCGTAGTTATTGAACCGACAGTTCTTTTATAATGACCAACCATAGTTATTCAACCGACAGTTCTTTTATAATGACCAACCATAGTTATTCAACCGACAGTTCTTTTATAATGACCAACCATAGTTATTCAACCGACAGTTCTTTTATAATGACCAACCATAGTTATTCAACCGACAGTTCTTTTATAATGACCAACCATAGTTATTCAACCGACAGTTCTTTTATAATGACCTACCATAGTTATTCAACCGACAGTTCTTTTATAATGACCTACCATAGTTATTCAACCGACAGTTCTTTTATAATGACCTACCATAGTTATTCAACCGACAGTTCTTTTATAATGACCTACCATAGTTATTCAACCGACAGTTCTTTTATAATGACCAACCATAGTTATTCAACCGACAGTTCTTTTATAATGACCAACCATAGTTATTCAACCGACAGTTCTTTTATAATGACCAACCATAGTTATTCAACCGACAGTTCTTTTATAATGACCAACCATAGTTATTGAAGTTGATGCAGACCCTAGACAGTACTACAGTGAAACCTGTGTAAGACGACCGCTCAAGGGACCTTCAAAACGTGGTCTTTTTTACCAGGTAGTCTCCTTATGCAGGGCCATTTTAACTGGAAATAGCATCCCTTGATTCTGGTTTCGGTGGTCTTGTAGGACAGGTGGTCGCCTTGACAGGTTTCACTGCAGTATGGTTGTGTAGTGGGTCCATCTATGCATTTCCAAAAAGCAGTGCACACACATGTACCTTGCGTCTCTGAGCATGCAGAGGTAGATGGCGGAGACCCTCAAAACTTGAGCTGACTGTTGCTGACGAGTTGGATACTGGGGATGTGGTGGCCGCACAGCCATCGGGGCTACCATAGGGGCGATCCGACATTGCCATTGTAAGACAGTCATCCACTTCCATGTTGTACCTACACGTAGGGTTTACATGCAAGCGAGTGATTCGAAGTTAGAACAGTGTGTCCTGTCACCTACCTTTTTATAGCTCCAAATCTTTACTACATACTTTCTTCTCCAGAATAATTGACCCTAGGCAGGTAAGATGATTCTCCGTTCAAATATGTTACTGGATTTTGAATAGCAACAGAGTTGCTCCAAGCAAAATCGCCCACCTCCAGTGCAGCCCCAAGAAGTACCTTTGATTGGCTTCCTGGCGTCCGTATGTGGCCTGAAAGCTGCGTGCAAATCTGTAAGCAGTGATGATGAGGGACAGCAAAGTCGGGATTGAGTAGAGCAGTAAGACGATGTAGCGGACACTGTTTTGGTCGAGTAGCGATTTTCCAGTACTGGCACAGCTGATGCTTATCTTGATTAGCGACATAAGGCACAGGTCAAACAGCAGAAGCGTTTCAAACTTATTGTCAATGTCCGCGATTTTCCAGACCTTCTTGTTTCGTTTGAGAGGCCTGGGAGAAAGCAGATAAACGGGAGAATGACAGTATGAACGAATGTCAAGACACCCGCAGCAATCATAACTTGTTCTACAGTGCTGGTGAAGTCTGACATGTGGTTTAGGGGCACAGAATAGAACCTCCATATGTTTCGTAACTACATTCAATTAATGCATTGATGAAGGTCCCTGGTTTGAGTCCTGGTGGTGACAGTCAATTTTTTGTTCAGGCTTTTCCGGTTTGCATATTTCCCTCAAACCAGTGAATTTATTCGTGCGTTGGTGGACGATTGATGATTGTATAACATGTAACTCAAAGTTGAAACAAACCAGCCTTGTGCGTGGTTGTTTTGCACATTTGTGAAAGATGTAAACAAACAAGGAATTCTGTATTATGTGGAGAGCTTCCAAGCAGGGCTGAAACACTGTACTGCCAGTGCCCTATCATACTAACAATGTTACATCACCCGGTGATATCATTCTAACAATGTTACATCAACTGCAGAGCAAAACAAGCCTGCATGTACTGTACCTGAACATGACATGCATTGTCAGCAGGATAACGCATGTCAAGCACACGGTGTACTGGCGCACACGCGAGTTGTAGATTCCGCCCTGCATGACGGCCAGGAGCAGACGCCGGAACATGTCCACGGACACCCACCAGTGACGTCCAGGCTCGTACATGTTCATTGCCTCGTCGGCATACCACTTGAACTGTGGTAAACTGCGCAGCGAGGGCAAAGCCATCACAATGGGAGCTGGGGCCACCAGGAACACCAACGCAGCAATGGCAGTGATACCATACGGCAAGTGCTCTGTGCCGAGGAATTCAACAGAGCCATCGAGAAAGAGCACTCTCCGCTCACCTGCTGGTGAATGCAGAGTCACACTCGCCAGCAGGTAGGTTGATATGTAGGCAATTGTTGCAGTGCAGTAGATGACACTCAACCATATGACGTGAGCTAGAGAGTTGCGTCTCTGCAGATGCTGCAGGTGCCTGGCAAAGAGCCCATGCCGCACGGCCAGCCACATAAGACAGCTGAAGAGGACGATGAAGAGAGGTTGTGCGCCAAGCACTGCTCTAGTTTGCAGCACTGACATGGACTCTTTGATGCAGATATGTCCCAGACCAAATGTCATCGCAGAGTAGAATATGTTTCTCATTAGAACATGATCGGCAAAGATGATGAAAACAGCCTGCAGAAACATGAATGTATACATCTTTTTTTTGGAAGATTTCTGACCGTGATGCATCAATGTAATTTAACAAGTTTTCAGTCACACGGTCGTCATGGAGACTGGGTGTGGCTGTCTGGTCAACTCCAGTCCATGCCCGGGCAGCAGTACTAGTAGCCTGTGTTTCTTTCTGTAACAAAACACCGTACAACCTGTCACGTATAGAGTGCTATCATGAATACTGACCAAGGTGCTTAGCAGCTTGCGAGCCCTAAACCCACACAGAAGCTTCAAAGGGAATTTCCTCACTCACCCTGGCGCATTGAAATGCAGCAGCCACCCTCTGCTGAGATGAAATACTCCAGAAGGCTAGTTTTATACAGGCAGGGATATATCACAGGAAGGATAGAAATACAGAATGAAGCCAACAGCCGCATGTTCACGGCTGCAGACAAACGAGTAGGAAGACATGGATATATGGGAAGTTGCAAATCTGACCTGGATGAAGAATAGCCAGCTGTTTAGCACCGGAGACACGCCAATATTGAGCACCAGGACAACGGTGAAAAGCATCGCCGAACAGATGAACACGAGAAACAGGTAGGTGTGTATCGATATGCGTGCTGCAGAATCAGTGCAGTTATGGCAGATCTGCACACATACAGAAGAGTACACAAGCTGATACTTCAGAGTTGTTGCAGCTGTAAGTAGTCTACACTGCTGTACCCCAGGAATATTGTTAGCGATGGTCTAACTTAAAAGCGATTCTGGTAACGCATTTTGCAACTTGGCCAGTGAAATAAAGTATTTGATTTCTGTTCCCGGCGGAGGAAACTCGTGGCATCTGCTGACACCCGGGTTACTAGGTAACCCAACTAGCCGCCGCATCTGCTGGAATAAACCAAGCGGCATGTGCAGCGCCTAGCTGTAGGGGTGAGGGAATGACAAATCTTACAACTACACGCACGAGTGCCGAAAGCCCCAATAGCCGCATCCACTCGGACACTGGGCCAATGAGAAAGGAGAATTGACACTAGGAACCAAGTTATGCGTAAATGCAAACCAATGGAACTAAAAAATATAGCACATTCATAAAGTGTGGAAACTAGCCAACCAAACTGACAGAATGCTGACAATCAATGACCTGACACCTACATGTACACCGAGTACATGCGGCATTTGTCCAATCGGCACACACCATCAGCGCTCCTCCACAAGAGCGTAGGAAAATTCATTCGGATTGCATGTGCACATCTTGTCTGACACACTAGTCAGCCTCTCCCATGATTGGCTAACACCTTGGCAAGTTTCAAACCGCATACTTCCTGTGGTTTCAG